GAGGCAGGACTGACACAGAGAGATGATAGCAGACAGGGAAAGTCCTTACCAGGTCGGAGTCCAGGTGGAAGGCTGTGGAAAGGTGTCCGGCGTTGTACTGCTCCGCCGGCCGGCAGTCCACCACAAAGAAGCGCACCCCCTCCTGCCAGACAGACAGAGCTTAACACGAAGATCACGAAATACATGTCAACCACACGTCAAAATCACAGGCAGCAACAAAGAGGGTTTCTCCAAATTCTGAAGAATGCGATGACTTCTGGTTGTAAGAGAGCGCAGGTGTGGAAAGCGGTCTGAATGGGGAAGAGTCCCAAGGCCTGATGCGTGAGATGAGTGCAGCCCTGGCTTTGTTCTGGTTCAAGTGACGTCATGCTGCGACATGACTCACCCCTTGCTGCTGGTTGGCCTGCAGGATCTCGGGAACAGAGACGGGAAGACACAGGGCCTGGCTCAGGTCCATCTCCTCCTCCTTCAGAGCCACCAGGCTGCTGCCAAACAGGTTCTGGTTCTCCTGCAAGGAGACGGGCAGAGAGGCAGGAGGAAGAGGTGAGCTCAGTGAGCACAAGACTGCTTTCCCCCGACACGAGGGCCTGAACTTTTCATTCATTTCCATATCCCGTGACATTACATAACTTTGAATAGTCACAGGTGTAAAAAAGAGCAGATGAAAAACATATTGCTTAATCACACTGCTAATTTACTTGTACCTAATTTACTTGAGACAACAAAGATTTGTAGAGTAATGAGCATAAGGAAAATGTACAACTTCATAATATTACACTTCTATATAGCTGACACTTATAGTGTACGTGTAATAAATATGACACTTCTGTCTGTCCGTTAATAAATTAAGCTTAAAGTGCATGTTATCATTTCCCTCTTATTTAAGGAATTCACACATGAAAATGAGTACGCATGTAGAAGTGTTCAGTACTAAACTAAATCGATCTGAATGAGAAGCCCTTTCAATCTGCGTTCAAGGGCCTTTCTCAGCGGTGACTGCACATTTCTAGCTCTGACAGGAGGGCAGGGGAAGAGGAGTCTCAGGGCTGCTGTCTCAGAGGCACGTTCAGTACCTTCCTGAGGGACAAGGGCGTCTTGCTGTAGTAGTACTGGGCCAAAGAGAAGAGATCCTCAACGTCCTCACATTCCAGGTGAGCAGGGGAGCTCTCCAGCATTTCTGGAACACACACACACAGAGCCATGAATCAGGAGCCCCCGTCTTCCTCACATTCAATTAAACAATTAACAATTATTTTCGTACTTTAACACACACAGGATGGTTCATAAGGTCTTTTATAGCTGACAGCTCAATCATTCCCTTCATTAAAATTACAGTTGCCTACAACATATTCTGGATCTAGGTCAAAGCTTATTAAATGAACTGCACTTAATTTACTTATTAGCCCCAGAATAAACATAACCCAGAAGACACAAGGCCTCCAGGTTCAGAGCTTTACAACACTGCTCAAAAGGAAGAAGAGTCTGGAGTGACAATGCTAATAAGACTATACTGAACAAGAGGCACTGCTTTATCCAAAGCGTGGTGGAAGTGTGGAACAAACTACCCAGCCATGGGATGGCTTTCCTTACAGGAACATCTCGATTAATCCAAGGGTCTTATCAACTACTGAAAGGCCTCCTTTCTTATGACTTCAAAGAAATCTGAGGAGATTTTATAAGATCTACTTCACCTCTAGAACAATTACAAAAGGGGTTAAATCTGAAACGTACAGCACTTGATTATAATGACATGTTTTCAGAAGCCTTCAGCTGTGAAAACCTGAAATGGCTCAGACTGCTCTGTAATCAGAGTTGATTTTCCAGCCTGGATCTATAGCTGTCCTGCTGCAGTGTCTGTGACTCTGTATCATCACAGGGGCAGCACTCAGCACAGACGGTAGCAGAAAGAGAGAGAGACTGGCTCTCAGCCTCTCTCCAGTCACACATGGGCAGCACGATCCAGAACACACTTACTGATGATGTCCTCTTTACTGTCTCCTTCCTGAGCAAGAATGTTATCTCTGGGGGAAAGAAGAAAAGACGAACTGCTGAGCAACCGATACCAGCTTGATTACAACTTTAAGGCTTTTAAGCAAGAAAAACATACAGTCACAGAAAAGTTAGCACTTTATCACTTTTTAAATTAACACGTGTCTATTGTATGTTAAATAATTTGCTAGGTGTATTTTGGTGGGCTGGCCGGCCCACGGGACAAATCTTAACGTCTGCTGACCGAGAATTTACTCTACCCTTCCCGTATTTTGGAAGCTGTGCAGTTTGTCTAAAGGTCTGGTACACAGATAAACCACACAGTGCAGCTGGATTTATATCAGCCGGTGTCCAATTCAATGAGAGCACTTAGTGTTTGTTTTTTGTTCCACCCAAGCTCTCAGTTCCACAAACTGGTCTAATTAATTAACACCGTTATTGCTAATACTTCTAACCAGGCTTTAAGGTATGTACAGGTAACTGTACTTTCACTGAAAGTGTTTTTTTCAATAGTCAACTGTAAAAGGCCTTAAAAATCATTTGTCCAATTAAAATGATAATTAGATTAATTGTTTAACTGACATTTTGGGTTGAACTAAAAAGCAGGAGACACCAGGCCCTGCAGGAACCACAGTAAGAGGATCTGACACTCCTGGAGCAGAATGTCGGGCTCAGAGGGGGAGAGGCCGAGAGACCGCTGCGCTGGTACCTACTTGGCGTTGACGAGGATGATGAGCATGAGGAAGAAGATGACGAAGGGATCGGCCTGCTGCAGGTAGATGTCCCACATGGCCTGGGTGACCTCGGGCGTGCAGTGACTGGCAAACAGGCTTCCCAGCTGTGCAGAGACGCACCAGGGTCAACAGTCAGAAGGAAAAGCCCTACCTCTGTATACAGAAGAAGCCACACTGGGATGTTTTAAAATTAGACCATATAATTCAGTGGGTGTGAACTGCACGGCAGAGATGTGTGACCCACATGACCTGTGTTACAGATCTAGGCAGCTTATATACAGCTCCAAACACAAACTGGCACCCTGTAATGAAACTAGGATATATTGTTCAATATTAAATGTAATGATTCTTCTTATGAACACTAACTCATCGAACAAAGTGGCACTTCTACTACAGTTCTATTGAATTATCTAATTAAAGATTTAAGGTGACTTCTTTTGTTTCCTAATCTAAGAAGTAGGGGGAAAACCATAATCTTTCTCTTCTCCTGGGCCAACGCACTCTATCCTCCACGTTTAGATTGCTCATGACCTTAGAAGAAAGACTAGGGAGTTCCAGCCTTCCACAGTCACAAACCTGGAGTGTTGGTGAATGTCTCATACCTCAGTCACCAGCTACTGTTTAAAACCAGAAGGCATGGGCCTACTGTGTTCAGGTCTGCAGTAGTCTGAGAAGATCAATATTACTATTGCGAGGAGCAATGGCCAATTGAATGTTCTTTAACTTTAGACATCAATCATTACTGTTTCCTCACAGTTTTTCCTTTTGTTTTCCTCTAAAGAACTTGATCCCCGAGACAGCTCTGCGTTAATATAATGACTGCACATTTTTCTTCCTCTAGAGAACAGCATCATAAAAGTTCCTCCCCATCTGTATCCTGCTTGGGTCTGCACCGTCTGACTGAGTGCCAGCTCTTAGTCCTGAAAGGACCGCTGATGTCTCCATCGGCGTTTCTCGTATCCTCCAGCGAAGAAAGAAAATTCTTGGTTTGAAGGTCTTCACAGACAGATGTGTAAATTCACAAAATATTCAAAATCCACTGCCCAGGTGGAAAAAAATACCCCCACCTTCATTAATAAGCCCGTAATAGGGAATACTTTCCGAGCGCAAGGGAGGACAGACTAAGAAATCGGAACAACAGCGACGGAGAGTTACCCAGTTCATGGCGTAGGAGTCTGGTGTGATTTTCTTCGTGTCTAGGAAGGAGCAGAGCTCGGGCTCGTGATACTGCAGCAGCAGCCTGTACAAGTGGAAGGGCCTGCCCTTTGGCACGCAGTCCCTGCAGAGACAGAGCACAGCACAGATCAGCGCTTAACACACAGGCAGAATACCATCTCCTGTAAATAGTGTTGTTATCCCACACTATAGAAGAACCATACAGTACGGTCCATGTATTCACACCATGTATGGTCACTTGCACTGTTAAGCGCCTTGGGTCAACCGTGTTGTGAAAGGCGCTATTTAAAAATAAATTGAATTGAATTGAATATAGTGGAGCAGACAAACAGGGCATGGACAGGCGTAGTAAAGTATCGTAAACCATGATTAAGTGAAAGCATGGGAAAACGGCAGATTTATCAAACTATTCCGCTGATAGAAGAAACACTGATTTTCAAAACTTGAAAACGAGAACCAAATCATTCCATTTACGTTTCTAAAAGTGAATCGGATTACTGCACATCGCGGCTTTCTCTGGGCTTACACAGAACATCTTCAGTGACAATAAGCATCATCCGATTCAGAGACCTCGTTCTTATGATCTCCATTTTGAAAAGCACGCCGTTTGTCCGCAACTAGACTGAACTGAGGAAAGTCAGAAGCCAACACAGGATTCAGCAGTGGTCCTTGGTGAAATGGTGAGTGATCACTCAGAAAAGGATGGAAACATACAAATAAATGACGGAACACGTTATTACCATAATCTATTACCATTTTCCTAAACTGGATTAATAATTACCCTATTTTCTCAACCTGACTGCTAAGCTGCTGAAGGCAAAATTCTAGAAAAAGTCAAAAGCCACTATGTTTCATTTGTGTCAATATCCTGTGTGGTTTACAGTCTCTCGTGTTTCTGGAATTAAATTCCTAATAACTGTGAAAACCCCAGAGTAAGAACATTCAAATACACAGACAAGAAAGCTTTGGCTTTTCGGAGTGCTGTTACTCTTGGGGCGCCCTGTGCTGCGTTTGAAATACACCTTCCTTTTTTCATCCAGGCATTTTTCTAAGCGCTTTTATCCAATCCAGGGCTGCAGGGGAGCCAGATCCTATCCTGGCAAGAAACAGGCACAAGGAAGAGCACATCCTGGACTGGACGGACGCCAGTCCATCACATGTAGACAGACACACACATACTCTCACCAAGAGCGGTGTTCCCAGAAACCAATGAAGCTACTAGTATATCTTAGGAGTGGGGTCCCCTTAGCACCCAGATGGAACCCATTCTAAAACAGGCAGAACATACTAACTCCACGCAGATACACCCCAGGAATTGAACCAAGGCCCTTATAGCTGCAAGGCACCGACGCTAACCAATGAGCCCCCATCCCATATTATTTGCTGAATATTAAAAAAGCCCTCTATAAATAGCACCTCTCCACTTATGTACACAGTGAAGCACAGCCCAGTTCTCTTAGTTCCTAAAATCTGAACTGCAAACCATGGCACCAGTGTGGACAGCGACCAAGTCCCAGGGGAAACAGTACAGCTGACACAGTTGGTACAGTTGTACAGTACCTTGACCCAGATGCTTCACCCCAACTGTTCCAGTATAACTCCCAGCTGTATAAATGGGTGCAAACACCCATCATGTTGGATCAAAGCATCAGCAAAATAAATTAATAATGGCAGTTAAGAACTCAGTCAAGCAAACAAGATGCTGGGTGTCTTAATACTTAGTTAGTGTTAATATTTAATAAAGGAGTGCTCTTTAAACAGGAATTGAAAGACTGATCCCATGGCAGAACGCGGAGGGCAGGAGAGGGTTACCTGGGGATATACTTATTCATGATGGCGTAGAAGCAGTTGTACAGGTCACTGCGGGGCAGCCGCAGGGTCAGCAGGGGCCGGAGAAGGTCCGGCCAGCTGAGATCGGCGGTGAAGGTGATGTTCCTGGACTTGCAGTAGAAGGTGATGACCGACTCGGTGTCCGCCAGCGCGGATGACCTCTCCTCCTCCGACATGGACAGCGGGTCTGGACACACAGCAGGCGGTTAGAGACAGGGCCACGACCAGGGTTTCAGCGGGTTTCTCTCCCCGGTGTAAGAGATCAACACGGTGAAATGTGTCACAGGGCTTAATTTATGAGGACCCTGTAAAAATTTAAAACATAAGGTTTTTAACTTGCCACACCAAAAGGGCAGATTTTCCACTCTTGAAAAAGTGTGGTCGGCAGACCCTAGTGGAAAATGTTGTCATCGGTTCTCTAAACCCTAATTCTCATTTTCTATTCATGTACTATATCTAGGAGCACTCTCTCAAACTGAGAAGATTTCTCAAACAATTGAAAAAAACAATCATTAAAATAAGAACAACTCCACATCATGACGAATCAAAGCCAAGATTCCGAATTATGTGACTGCACCAAACTCTAATTTGATATCCAATTGCACTTTTTATAATAATAAAATCTAAGAATGGAATATGCATCGATTATTCATGGCTCCTTCTCTTAAGAAGAGATACTGCATCTTAGTCCCACAGAAAACACAGAGCATAAAAAAAAACAAATTTATGTGCAAGCTTTAAGAAAAATAAAGTCTGCACCACCCGGCATTTCCAAATGAAATTTGTATCTTAAAAACTGTTCTGAAAGTGAAAAAATATATTTTATGTTGCATGTAAAATGTGCTAATTTGTTTTTGAGGTGTAGATAATCAAGTATTACTCATTTATGCTCTAACATAACACTGAATTGTCAAAGAAAGAAGAGTTTTGCTTGTTTGTGATGGTTAATTACCCTATTTATTCTAGTACAGTACTCAGGATAAAAAGACAAATTGTGTAAAACACAGATGTGCTCAGGAGCTGTGTTGTGGGAGGTCATGCTCTGAGGACTGTGAGTCCTCCTGTAGCTCTGCTGTCCCGTTTGTTGCTCTGTGAACCCTGAACACACACTCCCTCTCCTCTGCACACTGCTCTGTTCTGCTCTGCTCTGTCCGCGTCTGTCATTTCTCAGAAGCGTGCGACCTTTCTCTGCCAGGTCTTGCACATCCACAGCAAGAGCAGGCTTGTCTCCTTCAACACGAGCCCCCTCCTTCTGAGCGAACAGCAAGTACCAGAAGGGCTAATCAATTCACACGCTGCTTGGACGAAGTCAAATGCACTTCTTTTTTTTTAAAAAAAAGCCACCTCATGATTTTCTACTTTATTGAAAGGTGATTCAACTGCAGTCCCTTCAGAAAGAGAACATATTAAAAATACTTATGCAAACTCACAGTCCACACTCGTCGTCTTAGAACGAATCTCTCCTCCCCTAGGAGAAACAGACCGTTTTTTCTAGTCTCCCTGCACTCTTCACGATAGATTCCACCACCTTTACAGCCCCCCCCCAAATTAATCAAACGCACTCAAACACGGCTGTAGGAAGCACTCCTCTTATTGCCAATTCACTTGTGTAGAAAGCAGTGCTGTTTCTGGACAAGCCCACACAGGCACCTCATCTCAGAATGGCAACGGCAGGTGTTTTAAGGAAATCTGATAATATGCCAGTTCTGAGGTATGGCAGATACCCAGAATTCCCTCTAGTCTTCCTGGTGCGATACATAGAATCGGTAACAAATAGCTTCCTTTATTCTCTGAGAACACGATATCAGTGAGTGTAAGGTCAGGGAGAGAAAGACAAGCAAGAGATGTGAGAGAGAGAGAGA